GTGTTAAGGTACAAAATATTGGGCTTCTTTTCCAGTATCACAAATCTACAAATGGAAAAAAAAAGTTAATAATATATATTCTGTGATCGTAGATTCCCAAGTACACTCACTTGGGTAACAGCTGTATCACACAGCTGCCCTCTGATCCGACAAACAAATGGGTCTCCTTCCACTCACTGGGCGCCGCAATGCAGTAGGTCTGTTTGTCGTTTGTGTGCAGCAGGACCAATGTAGGTCCACGATAGCCAAGAACGTGGTGCAAGAATCGATTGGCACCGACGCCATGCTCGTTGGAGTCGTACAGCAGGGTCCAGTGTGATGGCATCATCGAGAGTTTATCCTTGAATATCTGCACAGCTGACTGGGCGCTGCTGTTGTTGCTACTGTTGGGCGGCGTAATTGTACGCGGCTTGGAATAAAGTGGCGGCAGAGCGCCGGCCAGCAGCCAGGCCTGTGAGAGTGGCATCAGCGACTCCATGTGCACGCTTGGCGCATTATGATCCGTTGCATCAGCGGATGCAAATGGATTGCGTTGCTCGATGACTGGCGTTTGCAACTCAAGGCCACACGATTGTGTCTGCTGCTCCAGACCACGATATGCTGTGGAGAGCGTATGCACACAATACTTGTGCACCAGTAAAACAGGACGTATCAGATTCTGCTCGAACCATCGGCAAACGAAGCCCAAACTGAGGCTGTCGTGACTGAAAAATATCGACTTTGTCACCGACTCAAAAGTCCTGTTGATGGAGCGGCAGAGCACTGCATTTCCCGAGTGCTGCATGGCAATCGTATAGCAGATATGCAGTAGACGCGTGACGCCCACTTTATCGATGAAATCAGGATTATCCGCCTGTGCGTACATCTTAATGTAGCTCTCCAGCACCTTAGTATCGTCCATTATGCCCAAAAATCTTTCGCATTGCTGTCGAAAGGCTACGACGCCCAGATGCTTTGTTGTTGCCTTCGAGTTAACGTGCATTAATTGGAAGAGACGATGGCCCAAATCAGTGTACCCAGGGAACACTTGAGACTGCGTACGAGTGTGTGTGTGTGTGTGTGTGTGCGTGCAATTAAATGTTGTCAAGTTGCTATAAAACTGTTATCAGATAATTAATTGTGCTTGCTCACCACAAAAACATCTGACACAATGCCATTAATGCCGTACTTGGCACTCGTCTGTTCCTTTAATATATCAGCCAGGCGCTCCACTGGCACCAGCTGTGTTAGGTGCTTCTCCGTCACATCGGCGCCTGATGCGGATCTGGTCATTGTTTGTGTTTGGGATTGCACCTTGAGACTGTTATTGCTGCCGTTGCCGTTGCCGCCGCCGTTGCTGTTGCTATTGCTGACAACAATATCGCTGGCATTATTGTTGCCGTTCGATGACTGTATGCTAGATTTGTGATGTTGATGGTTTTTATGTTTCCCACCATCCAGAGGAGGTTCGCTGCCCTCACCATCAGGCATCGCCTTGGCACTCACATTGTTGCCCATTTTGAAGTTGTGGTTGTAATTGTGTTGTGTTCGTGGGTCCAAACTTCGACGCAATTTAATTGCAAAAAAATTCCTCAATGTTAAAGGGGCAGAAAAAGGCCCAAAACGCAGGTTTGCTTTGAAACCAGCCCAACAGGTGCAGGGTAGATTTTTGTGCCAACTACGCCACAGTAACAAACCAGTTATGAAACACAAGCTCACATGCACATATCAAGACTATACTAATGAATCAGTTAAATATATTTACATAATTATATTTGCTAATCAAAGAAATATAAAAAACCCAAACAAAAACAACCATCACCAGCTGGGTAATTTTGTTATCGATTATGTGCTGAAGCTATTTGAAATACGCCCATCGCTAGAACTTTAAAAACAAATATGGGTGGGTGTTAGTATGTTTAAGTTATTTTATATATGGTATATACATGTTTTATTATTCTTCTAGCACATAGCACATAAAATACGCCGAAATGAGGTCATCTATATTAAAAGTGTCCTTTGAAGCACGCCATTAAAATTAATGGCTTTTTCTGCTCAGCTGAGCGAACAGCTGATGGCCGAAAATCAGCTGTTATATTTTAGGGCATTATCTTTTGCCTGCTGAAAGTTCAACAAACTTATTTGTATGTTATTTACTATAACGTACTTATTTACATTATTGTTAACTGATTAACACACAAGTGCTATTAGCTATTACTTTAGTTGAACAAGAAGAGAAGTGTGCACAATGGTAGCTGCTGTAAACAAACTACAGAAAAGCATCAATTCTGATGAAGATGAACCCTCCAGGCCTGCCCACGTCCAAGGACCGGCTTCGTCAAAGCTGCACGGCTCAAGTATATTGTTGGATGCTAATTCGACTAAGCGGAAGAGTGCATTTCTACCATATCGTCCTCAATCGACGGTCCTGACGAATTTGCAGCGCGGCAACACAGAGGCCACATTTTGTCCTGTGGAGGTTACGCTGTCCTTCCACGAACGCGCTGGTCAAGGCGAAATCACAGAAGATCAGGTTAAAGCTGAGCTATTGCGACAAAAACATATTGATTTCAGGGACTCCCATGGATTCACGCCTCTGCACTGGGCCTCATCCTATGGCCAGTTGGTATCAGCGCAATTGCTTGTAGCGGCTGGTGCTGATGTCAATAGTCTGGCACCGGATATGGTTACACCACTGCTGCTCGCTGCAGCTGGGGGTCACAATGAGATTGTGCGATTCCTACTTGATCGCGGAGCTGTGTCCACGCACATGGACATTGTGGGCAATACAGCACTTATGTATGCGGCAGCTGGCAATCATCCGCACACTTGCAACGAGCTGCTGGCCAGGGATCTGGACTTTAGTGCCACCAATGAGAATGGGCAGACAGCATACGCACTGGCCGTCGAGCATGGCTCGCATCTGTCCCAGGCTCTGCTGGAACAGTATATGACTGCTGTGCTGACGGCAGGAGCGCTGGGCAACATTTAATAAAATATACATAAGAGATTTATAGACTATAATATAGTTTTAATAAAAAGTAATTTAAGTTGATTTTCAAACTAGAACTCAAACATTTTATTCTTGCTCTTTCGCGTCTGCTGCTCCTTGCATAAACTTGTCTCCTGTGCTTGCAGCGTAGCCAGCTCTTGCTTCTGTGCCTGGAGCTGCACATTCAATCGCTTCTGCAGCTGCGCATCCGTTGCATTGCGTGCCAGCGACTGCTGCACTTTGGCAATGTCACGCTGCTTTCTGCGTATATCGTCTGCAATTCGCACCGTCTCCACATTGAGCGTTTTATTTGAGTGTTGCTGCAGATTGTTCGGCTTTGTTTTCTTGTTTGCATTCTCGGTCTGCTGGCTGCCCTGGCCCAGCACGCTGGTATTAAGAAAGGCAAACACATCGGTACGTTTCGATGCACGTTCGTAGGCCTTTTCATTCGCAGCTTCCTGGCGACGTTGAGCGCGTTTCAGCTTACGCTCCACACTGAAATAGTCCTTGTCGCCGTTGGCTGCCTCACGCAGCTCCATGCAAGCGTCGAGCGAGCGGCCCTGTGGCAGTATCTGTGCGCTAACGGGCGTGACAATACCCCGACCATCCGAGCCAAGGCCTGTGCCGTGTATGTAACCCATATTGGCCATCAGTTTGGAGCCTATGCCCTGAAAGCAATGAAATTTAGTTATTGAAAACTGGAACTTAAGTTCTTCAGAAAACTTACTCGTGTATACTGCTCCCAGGCACCCAATCTCTCGGTGGGCTTGAACGTAAATAGGCTCAACTCTACCATGCGTGCTTGACGCGCCGCTTCGAAGTCGTCCATGTCGGAATCATTCCCTGCATCGCTTCCATCAGTTTCATTAGACTCTTCACTCTCGCTAGTCAGGTCGTCATCTTCGGCAGTGACCAGAGGAAACAGTTCCTCAAATGGAAAGTCTCGCTCACGCTCCTTGTGCTCCTGGCCATCCAGACGCACACGACATTGCTGCTCCACAAAATTGACGCATAGCACCCGACCACGGTGCCACAGTCGATCTTGCAGCTTGGCCAAAACTGAACAATTACGTGCAAGTCTATGAAAGTCGGGAGCTTTGTAATCCTTAATGGATGATCCTGGTACCAGAGCCCCGTGCGAGTAACGACATCGCACTTCGTCAAATCTACATTCGCCCTCCAAAAAATAGTTACAGGGCAACATCTCGCGGTGAGTTGGGTTTGTGAAGAGAACGCGCAGTCGCACGTCCAAAATACCATTTTTATCCACTATCAATTCATCATCTACACCACATATAAGTGCATTGTGATAGCTGAGAGCACCCCAGCTATGCTCATGGGGTGCGGAGCACTTTTCCCCCAATAAACCATTATATTTGGTGCGTAGTTCTTCCAGCCGTTGTTGATCCTCGCCGGGATCAGCTTGCTGGTGCTCCAGGTCAATTAGCTCACTTTGAAAACGTTGTAGTTCATCGTCTATATTATCGGATGTCTCAGGTGTCTTTGTGTCGCTAGTAGCTTCAGGCTCACTGCCTCTGGTCAGAGCCAAGAGTTCCTCCAAATTTGTTTGCAGGGCTATTAATTCATCGCGTTGCTGCTCGTCGGATGTTACAAGCAGCGCCTGCTTAACCACCAGCAACTGAAATTGAGAAGAAATTTATTATGCAATTTTATTATAATCAGGTAAATCTCACCTGGGCTTCGTATTCATCCATATTCTACAGTTTAAACATTTTTGTTTATATTTTGCAAAAATATCTAATTTTGCCAGTTAAAATGAATCGGCGACATGCTTAAGGCAAGTATGCAGCTCACATAGAACAGAGATGATTTAAAAATGCTTCATTCTACATGTGTCTAATTGATAGATTATGCATGGGTCCTTTATTTTAATCTAATTTAAATGAAAAATATATGAATTTATAATAAATAAATAAATTTACTTTCTATTAAATGCGAAACCAAATACTTTTGCTGATGGCAAATCGATTATTTAGTTTACCAATCTGAAAGTAAAACAGTGTTGAAAAATGTGGTAATCGTGTTGCACAATTTATCAAGGAATTTCAACGGGCGCCACATGCTTGTGTTTATTTACCTTTTGTGCTATTAAATAAGTCCATTTAAAATGGCTTCGCTTTTTATGCTGGACACAGCTGGCCATATAATGCTCGCGCCGCGACTTTTTCTGACGAGCACACACCTGCTGAAGCGATACACCTGCAAAATAAGCGCAGCAGTCGAGCCGGCAGTACTTGCCGACTTGGAGCAAGCGGCGATCAAACCGAGGAAACATCCCGGCATTATAAAACCCAACTTCATCGAGCTACCCAAGCAACTGAGCGACACGTTAAAACGCATTGTGGGCGATCATCCTGTGAAAAAAGTTCTGCGCGACAGTGAGCTGCTCAATCGTTATATAAAAGCGCGCCATCCGCCGCCAACGCCGTTGGAAATCGAAAATAAGAAACGACTGATTATAGAAGAGATCAATGCAAAGATGCCATTGGAACGGCTTGCCACGCTCAGCGAGGAGGAGGCGGCGCGTTGGCAGCGAAAGCGTGAATTAGAGATTAATAGGCGTTTGGGTCAGCGCACATACGCTTGGAAACCCATCGAATACGGCACCTACGAAGCTATCGTCTATGCCGTGGGCAGAGCGGCCCAGGAGTATGCGGTAATGAAGCGCGTGCTCTCCGAAATTCAATTGCGCGATGAACACTTCAAGCCGCGCAGCTACATCGATTTTGGCTCAGGCATCGGTACCGGCATGTGGGCGGCTAGTGAACTGTGGCGTGACAGCATCTTTGAGTATTACAATGTGGATCGATCAAGGGAGATGAACGAACTATCTGAGCTCATCTTACAGCAGGGACAAGAGAATAAACAGATTGCGTTGCGCAATGTTTTCTATAGACAATTTTTGCCCGCCATCGATACAAAATATGATTTAGTTATTATTTCACACACATTATTCGAGCTGCCCGACAAGCAGCACCGCCAGGAGGCTCTTTTAAATCTGTGGCGCAAATGCGATGGCTACATGGTGATCGTGGAGGAGGGCACACGCAAAGGCAGTGAGCTAGTCAATGAAGCTAGACGATATCTACTCCGTGCTGGCGAGGAGCATGCCGGTCACACGCTGGCGCCAGTGAGTAGCTAAAAATGCATATACAATCGAAAGTTAATCCATTCTTTTTGCAGTGCCCGCACGATTTGCGATGTCCACGTCTTCGGGATTTGGCAGATCGTACGCCGTGCAACTTTGAAATTGCCTATACGCCACTGCGAATTAGCAGCGATTCAGTAGTGGATCGTCGCACTTCTACGTATAGCTATGCAATCTTAAAGAAGGGTCCCATTACAGATGCCACTCGCCAATGGCCACGCATTGTGCGTCCCACTTTGGTGCGTTCGAAGCATGCGATTTGTCGCGTTTGCACGGAATCTGGCAATTTGCAGGAGGTCATCTTTACGGCATCCAAGCACGGCAAGTAAGTAGAGAATGCTCTTCCATTTCCAATTTGCTCACTGGCTTGTATCCATTGCAGAGCCGCCTACAGCTGTGCTCGAGTCAGTCGCTGGGGCGACCGTCTGCCAATGGCCCTGGGCACGCCGCAAGCGAAGCAAAACAAATCCAAACCGGAGCCAGCGGAACAATCTGAACTGGCGTAACTCACAATAGTGTTAAGGCATTTTGTTGTTAACGATACCCACGATACTAAATCGATTGGCTTTAAATATAAAGCAAACAATTTGTTGCTCTAATTAAATACAAACAAATCGTTGCGCAGCGTAAATTTTGTTAATTATTTCGATGCACTAAACTGGCATTTCCTTGATAGTAAATCAAACAGCTAGCGCACCCTCAACTAGCATTTAATGGCAAAAGCACAAAGAGCTGGAAAAAATTAGAGCGACACAAAGCAGCTAAACAGTTGGATTAAATTGTTTTCTATAAGATATACGAACGAGTATATAAGCGTTGGGTTTCGCCAATGGGCAGCAGTGAAAACACGCCCATTGCTTATGTTCCAGTCGCTGGCACCGTGGATGGGTGTACGGATTTTATTACAGCAAACAGCGAATTTTATAGATTATATATGTGAGAAGAAATAAAATTGCAAAGCTTATTTCTGCAGAGTCGGTTTTATGATCGAATCATAATTAAATTTACAATTTCACAAGGTTGTAATATCCAATTACAAATTTCTCTGAAATGATATTCGTAATAAATTTTTTAATTATGCATATTATTGGGGAAGCTTACTAACTTTCAAACACTCTATACTTAACTAAAAGAGAAAAGGATATAGGCTAGAGCGAAAATTGCAAGAAAGAGTCATAGCCTTAATAAATGCTATGAGGATATATTATTATTATTTTATATTATATTATTATTAGAAACTTGCAGAAATAATTGCTAAAGAGCCAGAATATCGATCACATTAAGACAAAAATTTTTAATGTTGGCTGTAAACATAAAATAAGGGGAAAAGTTGTAATATACATATGTAGAGACATATACTCGAATAGTCATAATTATTATAAAAATGTGTAGAATGATAATTATGATTATAGTTATTGCTATTTGAAAAATGAAGCTAATAAGGTTGTTATGTAAGGCAACACAATTTGATAATTGTGCTTGATACTTAATAGTTGTAATTATAATTGATGATGAAGTTGATGGCGGCAGAGATGAAGAAGAAGATTAGCATAATGAAGAAGAAAAATGATGAAGTAGATGACGATGATGAGATAATTATAATACAAATATTAAAACAAATATATATTAATTACATTGTTTATCATACAATTCTTAAGATTATGTATAGCTTACAAACTATTAGTTATTAACAAATTATTAACTAAAATACGTATCCAACACAAAAGAGGAACACTGCTCGCCAACTGAATGCCACAACGTCAGGAACACAACTGATCGAGCTCTGCTGCAGGCTCGCACTTAAATAGGCGAGGAACCACTGAAAATGGATCACTAATTTTCTCTGAGTGTCTAGGGAGTTACGTTCTCACACTCAACCTGCAATGGAAAAGAGTAAAGAGATTAGACAAAAGTCTTGAGTAGGTGGAATATGGAAATGGTGGGATAATGGAGAGACAGGTGAAGAGATGTATATCTATGTATGTATGCGTAAATACCTGATCAGGCTGACGAGCTGAGCTGGCAGAGTATATGTACATATATATTTAGCATTGCTTTACTGAGCTAGTGCTTTCTTATTTGGCAGATGAGATGACACTGAAAGTGGAATATCAAATTACAAATAAATAATAAATTAAATTAAAAATAATTATATTCTTAGGCAATTTTTCCAATAAAGTATATATAAAGAGCTAATTAATTAATTAATAAATTAAATAATTGATAAATTAAATCATTTTTTGTTTCATTCCTATTTGTATTTTATGCAATAATACTAAAATACATGTATACAATTGAACTAGGAATACACCTATATATATAAGCCGATCCTCATTCAAATGCTATAATATTACATATTATTATTGTAGTCTTCAGCCCTGCATTGGAAACCCCTTCAAAATTCAATTAACAAAACTGTCTGCCAAGAGTTTAAATGTTTGTATATGTGCGTACGATTCGGGTGGCATCAGTGCCAATCCCAGTTAACAGGGCCAGCGACTCGCACACATTGCCAGACTGACATTTGGCTATGTGTTAATGTGAAACGCGCCCTTTTGGTGACCGCGGATCATCCCTGCGTCGAGTCGTGCTCCTTGCGTGGCCATTTGGCATAAGGCTCCGGGCTAGACAAAGGGCAACTGGTGGGGCGCGAAAACTAACACGTCTCCTCTCTTCACTTCCATGGGTGTGCCAGGGCTAATATATATAAGTACAAATATATGTATATATAGTTATATGTAGTATGCTTTTAAGGATTGGCCCTGTAATAAGGTGTGCTCTAGAGCAATGGACTGTGGATACATAAGAGTGGTAGAAAAATATTGGTAAATGGAAAATATCTAAGGGGTTTCAAAAAAATTCCCTTTGGTGCTTTTTCAAACTGTTACATTATTATCATTATGATGATTATAATTATGTAATAATTACTTCAAATATATTTTTGACTACAGTTTTGGTACAAGCTTATATTCTTAGCATATTTTGTCGAGCAGGTAATGAAAATATATTAGAAAATATTCTATATTTATAATAAAAATATATCAAAATATATATATATATAAATACATGTATATAATAAGAAAATAGTTTCTTTTATTTTAACTAATATATTTGTCGATTATATATGTCTCAGAATGAAATTTATAGAGCTTATCTGCACGAATATTTGTCGTTTAATTCACTTGGATCATGGAACTAAGGCTAGTTATTATTTTTATAAATATTGATTTTATATGAAATCTTGCTTATTATTTAGTATCACTTTTAAAGAGATTTTGAATTTATATTTTAGCCTCTAGCATTATTGGTATCACAGCTTCAGAAACCGGTATGAAATTAGATTTATTGCCTTGATCGGAATACATATAAGAATAGGCATAATACAATTTGGAAAAAATCAAAATATATGTTTAATTCTAATAAAACTAATATATTCAATATTTTAGTTTTGTATTGTAATATAAATACTGAATTTTATTTAATTGTATGATATTTACATATATTATTTAATTTGGTTTTATATTGGTTCAGGTTAACTTTTAAATCTGCTTACATTTGTATATAACTTAAATATAATTTATAAATATTAATTAATTATAAAAAAAATAATAATTTCTCTACACATTTATTAGATTAAGTTTACTTTCTATGTAGTTAGAAACATTTGTAATTATACTAAGATTTCCTCCTTATTGTATTTTTAAATACAATAGAGAAATATTAAATATTGCCTGAAGGCCATCGTTGCTCTGGCTTAAAACTTGTTATATAGAATTAATTCTTTGTAACAATAAATAAATAAATATTGGCCAATTAAGCTGCTGTTGCGAATTATCACCATATGACACCTTACAAATGCATCTGGCATACAAATTTAATTAGAGAATGCATTCGCCGAGTCATTAACCCATTTAGTTAAATACATATAAACTTGATATGACGGGATATACATATGTACATGAATACATATATATTTGTATATATACACGGCTGTCCAATGATAAACGTTTACATTATATGCTAACCAAGGCACAAAGACACCCCCGCCCTATGGGAACTGAATAGCCAACACACACAAACACACACACACTCACACATACAGAAGCGCGTCATGTGGCGCCCCCAGAGCTATGGACACTGCTAGCTCGATGCTCTTATGTGTGTGTATATACATACAGAGATAGTTATACGCATAGCGACTAGGTGGGGTCAGCTCATTAAAAAGGCGCGTTCGCTGGTGTCAGCTGTCGCTCTGTCTCTATCTGGCTATTTGTACTAGTAAGGTGCGTCCCACAACAACAACAATAACAACAACCACAGCGAGTGAATTGGTGGCGTTTAGAAAGCATGCGCCGCTGTTGCAACATTCGTTTGACCCACCCAATCAGTCAGTCAGCCAACCAAGCGGCCAGCCGGCATTGTTGTTCCTTTTGTTCCGAGTCTAATTCTAATGTCGACTCCCCTGGACAGCAGAACAAAAAAGCAACCGAATATAATAAAAACTAAAAAACGGCAGCAAAGTCTTCTCATACAGTATATAGTCGGTCGGACGAGCAGTTAGTTAGTTAGTCGAGCAAATGGCATTCCGGGAGGCTACCTAGTGGCTGTTGGTGATGTCTGTGCATCAGTCGAGGCTCGAGCGTTGCCAGGAATAGTTGGATACATAGCGATATAACTCAAGTCGACCCAGTGCTACTATTTGGGAGCTATCCTTAGCCGGCATCTTTCATTCGCGCCTGTATCTTGCTGAACCGTTACAATTGTCACATCCAAATCCGGTTGAGCAAAATTTCAGGTGTGTGAGAAATTTGTAGCGGTCTCATCAAAGCAAAGTGTTTCACATAAGTGTATTTGAAATGAAACAAATCACAATTTTTAAAGATGGCTAACAGGTAATTACACTAAGACCGTTAGACATGGAGTGCTTTTGGAGTTATGGAGAGGATGGTCAGTCTACTATCATATATACAGAGGTATATAAGTCAATATATCTTCCATACTTGGCATAGGATATCCTCCGAGGTTCTCCAAATTAAGTGTAATCAGCTCAATGACGTGTTTAAAAAGATTTTCAAATAGGTTGTTAAGGTTTTAGGGTTTTTTCTTTACTCAAAAATGCATCCTGAGAACTGGAATAAGCAAACCCCACTGATTATAACCTCTATATTATATTTAAATATATACATATACAAATATGACAAATGAAGAAGAATTTCTTAACCCAATTCCGCAAAATTATTATATATTTTTAGTAGTATCCACGATATATCTTAAAAATCCAATAATATTTGTTTTTAAAATTAATCAAAAAAACTATAATGATTTTTCAGTCTAGAACTGTACTCGCTTATTTTCAATATCATTAAAGTGGTATGGACTTAATATCATTCCAATATGCATGTGAATTGATTCTAGCTTGAGATTAAAGAAGATAAATCAAATTTTGAATATATAATAATTCATGAATTACTCTTGAGAATCCTGATAAAATTTAAAACTAAAATTGAAAATAAACTCTAAATGAGATTAAGTAAAAGAATAATAATAAAACAATTGGCGCTGATGCATATCAGTTGATCAATTAATTAATTTTGTTAAAATATTAATTTTGCATGAAAAATCATTAATTTTGATTGATCATTATGCTGTCAAGTTGATGATAAGCTCCAGACGGCGTGGGCATATAAATAAATAAATATATATATATATATGTATATGTGTATATATTTTTATATACATATACTATATATATACTTTTTTATAAATGTCTACAAAAGTTTCATTCATATGATTTCATTCATAGCTGAAAACCCCCAGCATTATTCATTCTATATTGAGTGAAAATAAATATTCTTAAGGGTGCTTAAAATGTAGGAATGAAAGAGAAATTTAACAATTTAATACATATATTTCTAATTGAGCGTATTATTATATTATGAAGTCCTAGAAATGGATGTAAAATTTAACTTGATTTACGGATATGATAAAAAAGGATAACTAAAATTTAGTTATTTTCTATAAATGCCATAAAAAAATTCAATCAATCTGTAATTCATATGAAATTAGAAAGTCTCTCAACAATTCAATATATTTCGAATAATAATTTTATATAAATTATGAGCTAAGACTAATAAAAATAATTCATTGACTATAATATTCTAAATTTCGTTTCTCAAATCACGCCACCAACACGAATGGGTAATAAAATGGGCACACGTTTCGCATCCGACAAGAAACATGTTGAGGCGACGATGGCGTAAGTTTTCAATGGAAAGAGCCCAAGACAAATTACTAATCCCGAGTTATCAGCTTCAAAATGAACGAGAAACACACAAACAAATGCGGAAAACAATAGCTAATATGCGATTGTACTAGAGTCTATATCGCTCTCAGTAGAACACCCACAACTCAAGCTGACGTCGAGTTCGACAACGACTTTGACTTCGGGTTCGACTGAGATCATAAAAATGCCGCAAACGTTTGGACTTTGGCATTAGACAATGTGTCGTACCGAATCTAGCCGATAAGTAACTGACATTTATATTATAACGTTGCTCGAGCCCCAAAGCGGCCCAAGTATTTGCCAAGAATTTCCTGTAAATTTCTTCATATTCATTGTCGTATATTTTAATCTTATCATTTTATGTACCAGTCGTGTTTTCGATAATATCGACACCTATGAAATGCTTATGTAAATTTCATATAAATGGCATTTTCCTTTCTGATCATCAATTAATTCATCAAGTATCCAAAGTCTATGTTCGGAAGCTCACGATCTTCAAACGATCTGCTAATCAGCGCTACAGACTTGAGGGAACCGGCCTGTGCATTGCTTTTAATTATAATTGCTATTGTGATTTTATTTTATTTCTTGTTATACTTGCTCACGGATAGAAAAAAGCATATTAGCTTTCATCAGTGTCCTTAAAATTTGAAAATCGTCAACTGAACCTGAGAATTTAATAATAATACTTACAATCGACCACTATAGAAAAATTATTTATATGCTTCTTTAAGGGCGTGGCATGGCGAAACAAAATAATAACTTTGACAGCTTCACTAGTTTAGCAGGTGAATTGATATTGGCCGATCCACAGATCTTAGGTTTATTTTTGGTCTATGTTTCTGTTCGCATAAGGTTATTTTATATAAATAACATTAGAGTTATTATATATTCTTATATACATAAGTATTACATTAATATAAACTCTTATGCATACTGCATAAGAATAGGCAAAAAGAAAAAAAAAATATTTATTATAGATTAGAATTCATATGAAATTTTCGTTAGCTTAATAAATATTTAACATATTTAACAATTTTTGAGGCGAGGCGAGTTACAAGCTTGTCAATTGGATAGCCTTTAATCGACTATTCAGATACGCCTATAAATTATAAGCTACGAGTATTATGCGGTTGCTTGCACCCGATTAGAGCGTTGTTTTGCTTCAATTCTATTAGAAAACAATAATGCATTCGTTTCAATTGGGTTCAGTCTCGTTTCACAGTCGAGCTAATTACGGTCCAAAGTCGAAAAATGAGCAAATAAATACTAATACATACATATATTCAGCTATATACACTTACATTACAACAATTACGATAAGAACTTAACTAGCATTCTTGAAAAATTTCAAGTATTTCAATGCCACTTAAGATGAATCAGCTACTAAATGCTCAACAACTGAGTTTTAAATATACTTTGAATAGTGAAAGTTACAAACATATATCTATATAATATATATAGTATATTTTAGGTATATATATAGATTTACATTGTGAAGTACTCTAAGCTCTTAGTGATAAGCAAAATAATGTTATTTTGATAAGATATCGATTTTTAAGCAATGCCAAAACAACCCAACTCATTTCTTGCTGCATAACCTCTAGCTGAACTTTGAGTATAGTCCAAGAATATTGCATTATTTATAGATATTAATATATGTATATTAAAAACAAATAAAATCTCAATACCTGTTTACAAGTTTTCCATTACGAGATAGATTTAATTAAAATTTATAGTTGCACAAGTAAGTATTGAATTGAACTTTGCATTATATTATCTGATTTGCAAACATTAGACTATCAATAATATATGGGAATCTAAAGTTTCACAGATAGTCAACTGATATGAACAGTATTTCATAGTTTCCTGTTCACCATTTTAGATAAGAATTTTAACTTTTTTTTATGTAGTTTATATAATTTAACATGGTATACGAAAATGTTTCTTTGCCTACAACTAGAGAACATAATATAAAAGCGAAAGGCGAGCTAAAACCCAATAATTAATTAGACATGATTCATGAGGGGAGCACAAAGAACTTTTGACTGCATTGGTATTGGGTATTGGCAGCATTGTTAAGTCGTACGATAATGCTGCTCGTATAGAGCGATCCATTGTTTAAGAGCGAAGAAATGAACAGCAAGGCCAACTGAAGAATTTTATTACGTAGCAAGACGTACGAAATGTATATGAAAGACATACGATATATGGACTTGTGAACCCAAAGGCCGAGCCCAATATCAATGCGTTGCGTTGCCAACCGATCGCGGGTGCTGCGTCGGCTAAATATATTATTGTGGAGCTGTTATCACCAGAAGGAAAACCACAATTATAGCAGGCCCGCTACACTAATAGCCAATGTGAACAAAAAGCGTTAATAGAAGCCAGCAACAAAAGCCGAACGGACTTCGTTTTCGGTTTCGCTGTGATAAAGCTTGCATTGCACACATACATACACACGCACACGCACACACACACACACACACAGTATTCGTGATCGCGCTCACATAGATACTTACGCACGCTCACACACACTCACACAACAGCTGAGACGCTCGATCGTGTCTTTGTGTGCGTCTCAACCGGCTGGTAGCTGCCTCCATTGGAACTCGGAGGGAATCGCCATAGCTAGCTGGGATTATTGTTTGTTTGCTGGCCGCCAGTCGCCGATGTCACATCGAAGACGCTGCTACGCGGTTACTGTGGAGCGCGCAAAATTAACTAAGTGAATAAACCACAATCGAAAACAAAAAAGAACCAAAACAGCGCTGCGAAACGAAAAGAATATAATCGAGTATATAGAGTAGACTGTGAATTGTGTAGCATAATAACCAAGCGACGTGCAATATCATTTTTTAACTGCGATCGTTCGAGCACGGCACGGGTAAGGCAAGCACGAATTGTTTGTATCTACAAGTTAACACAACACCAGGAACAAGAACTGTGCGCTAAAAAAATAATACACAAGAAAATTGCAGAGACCCGAATTTTAAACATTTTTAAATTGTTTTGACTTTTGTTTGAGTTATGTGAATATCATTTTAATTATGCCTGAAGAGTGAAGTCTGAGGCATTTTAAGTGATTACCCAAAAAAACAAAAAAGAAAATAATTTAAAAACAATACCAAAATGTATACTTACAAAAATATATACATAATTGTTTTAAAACATTTTTATAAAATTAAAAGGATATTTCATAGTAAATATTTATAATAATAAACTATAGAAAATGATAAAAATAATTGTTAATTAATCAAATAAAACTAACTAAGTTCAAAATCTTATAAAGAAATAAGAGACAAAATAAGAATAAAATAAAATTTATTATATAAATAACCAATAGCTATTAGTTATTTATCAACTAAATTAAAAACAAGAAAATATGATATTTTACTTAAAATATAAATTGTAAAAACAGGATAATAAAACTACTACATCCTTATTTCCCATTTTCAATGGATCTGGATAAAAAATAAATAAAAAAAACATATGTAAAAATAAAAACAAAGCAGAAAATATAAACTAAATATATTTAATATAAGGCATAACCAGAAATCGTAAACTTAAAAAAAAATTGAAAATATAATTCTAAATTACAAATTCAACATAGCAGTGATATTAAATATATTAAGTTTCTATTTTATTTTGAAAACTTAGCAGCTAAGTTAACTAAAGAGCAATTTAATTTTTCGACCACCCCAAAATTTATATTTTAATAACTTGTTCAATAAACCAAACTATGTGTTTATATTTTCAACTCATTTAAATTATTGTTAATTAAAAAATATATATTATACAAAACAAAAAAAATAAATAAATAAACTATTTGAACGATTTGAGTTATTGACAAAAATAATCTCTACACGCATACACACAAAAACTCTGAAATTAATCTAACAGAAATATCACATTGCTCAGCACACTGAATAATAACGCTATTAATTAGCTGTCAGATCATCATTAGCAATTTGGAATGATGAATGTACATAACTGTTAGTCAAAGGGTATATTCACCTTTTGCCTAATACATAGATTTGCATTTAAAAAATTTGAGAAAAAATCAAAGTAAACAAATTATAATTGTGGTCATTGAAACGATGTTCTGATTCCCAACGGAAGCAGCTGCCGTTGCTCTGCTCTCTCTGCCTCCAGATCTATTCTATTCTCCAGGTTTGGCTACCGTTTCGAGTCTCTCAACCGGTTTACTTCCGAGAGCGGAGTAAACAATAACATTGTAGCATACAGATAGATACGTAGCACAAACACATGCACATATGTATATGTATAGGTTACAATTGCAGTGCGTATACACATATAATATTTCATAATATGTGAATAAGATGAATTTCGGGAATACCTTGGTAACGAGAAAAGACAGGTTTCTCAGTTTGCTTCGAGTCATTCAGCTGACAAGTTTTCTGTTTTCGGTGATTTTTGCATGCAAATAATAAGAGTGAACTGCAAACAGTAGAGAAGCCACGACAGTGTCAATCAAATATTGAAGTTCTGCTGATAAAGTATCAGTGCGACGGTGTGCGTCATAAGCAAATGGCGTAGTTTTTAGTTTAGCCCTTCAGTTAGCTGATATAGTTATGTCTATATAGTGCATATGTTTGTATGAGAGTGAGATTCAGGGCATTGACATTGTGTAGTGAGCTGAGTTTTCGTTCCAACTAATTCAAGTGCAATGCCCACTAGCCGTAGTTGGGTGAGCGAGATCAACAGATAGCTAGATTCTCCGATTAATAATTCGCATGTTATTGAATTATTGAATATTTAATGGAATACATATGCAATTCACGAACAGTTGACTAGCTGCTTTCGAGTCTTGACCATGTGCAGGTAAGCTCTACTTTGCCTAGCCTTGAATCTAGGATTTGGATTGGGATGAGAAAAGGGCGAGCCTCAGAAGAGACTCTACTTTAATTTTCACACCACTTTGCTGTTTAGGCCTATGTAAGATATTTTGAATAGTTCAATCTAAAATTTTGGTTTTTAATTTATTACAATTTTAAAATTAAAATCTTTTTTAAAATTGATTTCGATTGTAGAGTTTTTTTTTTTTTTTTATAATTTTAAAATTTTTTTTAAGTGGTAAATTAAAAATATATGCTAAATTATGCTGAAGCTTACAATTCTATAGAACCGAAAAATATTTAAAATGTATATCTATTTAAAACGTATATCGTATATATTTATATAAGTTTTCTACGAACTATATGTATAATACATATATGAATTATTGTATAACCTCTATATATACTATGCATTCCAAGACCAAATAATAAATGTATTATACTACACTCTAATATATATTATATACATTTGTTCTAGTCGTATCCCAACTTTGCATATAAATTTACAATATATGCATATATATTTATACCCTAGTTTACCTTGCCGTAGTATGCATAAACTAAATACTCGTCAGCTCATATACTATACACTTAGTAGAAGTATACTTTCGCAGTAGTATACTATTTTCATCTCTTCTGTCTTTACAAATCCTATGTAATACCTTTGTGAAAGACTCCGTAGTATCCTCTAGTATACCCGAGCAATATATGGTGTATGTTCACATAATAGGCGATGCTTTGTAGATAAGGCGTCCAGGCTGCGGGTTACAGATGACACATGATGAATAAATCGTCATAAGGCGAAGTCAATTGCATTTACATTTAATTCACATTGTATACAGATATACTATATGCATGTATAATAATATATATATTTACATTTATATATACATAATTAAGCCTACAATATATGAGATGAGTTCGAACAATGTTTTTGTTTTGATTAAAATGTCGTTACATATTTCAGAAATTTATAATCTATATATTTATATGCGATTGTTTTCTACGATTACAATTGTTCGTCTTGCAGTTGTACCTTGATCTTACGGAATATATATATATATATATAAACGCATATAATTTCTATTTAAATTATATACGTCTGAATGAAGCTATTTGTTAATAATACGGCAAAAATGTGGAGTAAATTGCGTGCTACATTTACTTATATAAATATTGAATATTTTATTGGGGTTGTTGCAGATAATTTTAATATTTTTTTTTTTCATATGCCAATTGCATGGTTTAAGCTCTGTTGTATGTTGATCTATAAAGCAAGCAGTTCTTAGTCAAATATAGAGTGTGTTTATGGAAATATTACTATATGAATAAATATACATTTTTATTTTCATCTATATAATTTTTTTTATGAATGGGCATTTTAACAGTTTAGCATATAGTAAATATAGATAATCTACCGGATTTGCTCTTAAATTTTAGCTATTTATTAAAAGTGCATGTTGCACCTTAATTTGTTCTCAAGAAGCAAAGCAAATATCAAATAGCATGCATAACTTTTGACGTCAAGTATAATCGTCATTTGCGTAATTAAGTGACATAAACACAAAATACGCGGCTCAAAAGCCAAAAGAGTGAAAAAAAATACTACAAGTGAGAATTTTACAAACGGCCGTAACCGACGGCAGTAATACTTATTAGTCATCAAAAATTCCACGTGCTTTATACGAAGCTTTAATTAACAGATTTAATTTTATGAATATATATTTTAGTTAATTTTATAAATATATTGCACTTTAGTTTTTTTTTTTTTTTTTAATTTTTATTTATTTCTTAGGAAAACCAGAGCATCTTTTGCTCTATTATTAAGACATTTTTTTATATCTGAAAGATTCTTATAAGAATGGTGCTCGTGCTTAAATGAAACAATATATACATATATATTTATATGACATCAGAACTGTAGTTTCAATAAAATGGAAATGCCTTAAGTTCCTGCTAACATAACATAACAACAAATATACTCTTTTCACTCTGTGAATCAGTACAGAGTACATACATGTTTGAATGTAAAGCTATATAAAATATATGTGTATATGTCTTTAAATGTATGTATGTGTATATATACAAATTCTAAAATGAAACCTATCCACTCACCTGGCGGGTGGCAAACGTTTCGTCGCTTTAATAATTAACAGGTGCAAAGGTGAGCAGCTTACGGTAGTCATCCACATGTGTTGCGCCCATGATCCGCAACAGTTTGATCAGAGTGCAAAATGGCACGCAATTCACATAAAAGAAAGAAAAAAAAAACCCGTTTGATCAAGTTGAGCATTTTCGTAGCTGTAGCTGCGGCCAGGTAGTCGCCAGCTGGACTCTGTCCCAATAAAATGTGGCACAGCTCCATGAGCCATGACGCCCGTTGCATCACTGTGAAAATCAATCAAGCATTGCTGCAACCCACTGCATCGTGTTTGAGTCTGCAAATAGAGTTCATAAATGAATCACAAATGTGTATATAATAGATAGTACACTCCATTATCTAAGTTTTTGATGAATTAGTCACAACTAAATTAGCTCAACAGTTTGAAATTTATAATTATTGATTAGAAAGTTCTGAGGTTTTTATGGGACTTCAATTAAAAATCTATATAATGGAAATGGACAGGTTAAATATATTATATATTAAGTTTAGCCGATTTAAACTAATTAAAAATATAGATATATAGATATATAACTAGTTCGATTTAGCTGTAAACAAAATTGTTTAAAAAGAAGCAGGTATACAGAATGA